TCTTAGAGGTAGCAGGAAGGGAGAGGGAGGGAGGGAGGCCGGGAGGCAGGAGGTAGAAGTTGGGAAGGAGACTGGGAGAAGAAATGGTTGTGCAGAGAAAGCATCAGGCAGCTCACAGTGGTCCTGACTTGCCCCAGTACAGCTCTCTGCTTGTGGGTTGTGCCAGCACAGTTATTAGGGGCTCTGCATCGCGTGATCTGTGATGTGACCGGGTCTCTGGAGTGCTGCCAGAAAGCAGTCTGGAAAATTCTGAGAAGGCAAAGGACCCTGCCCACACTCCTCCTTAGGTCACCACATTCCTAGAGGCAGGGAAGTGCCTTTGTGAGTCATGCTGATGACCTGTCCAGCACAGGACCCCAACTCTTGAAGTCAGCTGGGGTCAGGTGGTCAGCAAACAGGGAATATGGCTGTGACCTGGCCCTTTTCTCTGCTTTCTACTCTTTACCACTGAGTGGCTGATCTCTGCAAATGGGAGTAAGGCGTTCTCCTCTCCAAAAGCCTGAATGCCTCTTTTGCCTAAAACACATGCCCCTTGCTCTCTTGAAAATTAAAGAAAGTTGGGTTTCGTGGTTGTTTTTTGTTTTGTTTTGTTTTTACTAAAAACACACTCATGGGTACTCCTCCCAGGATTACACATTTATAAGCTTTATAAAGTGAGCTCCTAACGGCAGAGAGAGAGGTCTTGCCTTCATTTTTGTGTGTTCAGCAACTGCTTGGTTTATAATATGCATTTAATATATGAACTTAACTGAATTAAATTCGGGAGAAGACATAGAAGATCAAAAACAAAGTAAAAAGCCGAGAAAACAGCAGCGTAGAATGAGCAGGGGAAAAGGACCTTGTCAGCAGCACTTTTCAGCCTTGGATGGCAGCTCCCTGGCAGCGTTCCCACCCCACAGCCAGCCAGGGAAGGGAGCTGGCAGAGTGATGGTGCTCCTGGGATTCGGCCGCTGCTCTTTGATTCCACTGCCATGGGGCAGGTGCATACGCTAAAATACCCACCAAGGAGAAGTCCCTGTTAGTCGCCCAGCCCCACCTGGCGAATGAGCAGTGGGCTTTCAATAGACATATCAAAGCGAAGCCAAGAGGTTTCCAGGTCAACTGGAAAACAGATGATGTTTTCAGAAGTAAACTTATCTGGAGAGGCCTGGGAGCTGCAGGAGCTGAGGGGGCCCCAGGCACCCAGTAACATGCTGGTTGGCCCAAAATGGTGCAGGTTCTAGGTCTTCAGTGGCTCAGGGGTCCTGTTTGCTGCACACACTCACAGTGATTGTGTCCTCCTCTTGTGGGTTGGTTTCCTCATTTGAAAAAGGGGAGGGTACCCCTACCTCCAGGGTTTCACGAACACCAAATAATGCCTAGTCACGATGAGTTTCGGAACAGAGAAGCCATCACGCGTAAACTCCCAGCCTCCCAGGGACACCATCCGTCCAACACAGAGACCAGGGTTTATTTCACACAAACATGCTGAACACCCAGAGAACTGGAGTCTGTAGGGGGAACACAGAGGATGTAGGAGTTTATGGCCTATTAACCCAGGTGCTCTAAAGCCAAACCAAGCTCCACTCAGGGCTTTCAGACTCCTGTAGGTATGATGAAGTCTTGGAACTTAGCACTACCCCCTCTGACTGTCTGATTAATCACACTCTAATAGTATCAATAGCAAAGAGAAAAGACTTTTCCTGTGATGGCCATAGAGCTCTAGTGCCCACCAGGTGAATGAAGGCGACTTTTTAAAACTAATGATTTGAATCAAGACAGAAACTATGGTTATTAAATTTGTAAATTACCTCAATGGAGTGAAGAGCACAAAAAAAAAAGAAGAAGAAGAAGAAGAAGAAGAAAGAAACCACAAGATTTCAACAAGATGAAAAGAAAGATTCAGTGGGAAAAAATGTTGAGACTGTATTTATGTTTAAAAAAAAAAAAGTAGCTAGAAAGCCAGGATAGAGGAAATCAGCACAAAACTTAGTAAAAAGAAAAAAAAATTAGAAAAAATAAACCAATGTGAATCATAGGTTCAATGTTGCTGCCAAAAAGCTAAGGCAATTTGGGGCTGCATTAATAAAATAACAGTGCCCATAAAAAAGAGAAGAAATAGTTTCAATATGCCCTAACATCTACTTGAACAAGAATCTTTCTAGAGAAAAAGAATCAGAATAATGGAAGGTCTGGGAAGCCATTTGGTCCAAGAATCAGGTGAATAAAATGGAGAATAGAGGTGGCAAAGTAGACATAGTTAGCTTGAAAAGAAAGAGATGTAGAAGTGATTTATTTTCTAGCTTTACACAGAAAAGGAAAAAAAAAAACTCTTATGGGAATGATCTGACATATTTTGTGTAGGACCACAAAGCCAAACTTCAAAGAGAACCTTATAAAGTAGACTTTAACAGGACCTGTATTTAGGTCCAACAGGAGAATAGACACATGGTCACAAGAAGACTGTCACAACTCCAGACATCCTGACCACAATCAAAGGCAGGAAGTGGGAGCTTGGTGGCATTAGAAAGCTCTTCTCTCTTAATTGTTTCTTTTATTAGGAAGCAATAAATTCTGAAGGTTTATTCTATTGGGTAGAACTGAATCATTAGTTATATGAGAGATTGGGAAATTGAATGTCTAGCAAAAGGATAACTAGGACTGGCTCAAACCAACTAAGATTAAGCAAAAAGCCGAAACCTTAAAAATAATAGAATGGAAAATGGGTGATAGCACAGAGTGGTTAGACTAAATTTCAAAGAGTCAACCTTCACTCCTCTTAGAATGGAAGAAAAATAAATTTATTTTTGATTTTGACATTTTTGGCTTCCTGTTAATTATAGTCAAATACATGATAATGGATACAAAGATGGAGTTATGAAGATGCTTGAAAACACATTCAGTGGACTGTTTGCAGTTCCCACTCATTCAATGAAATTTACTGAGCATCTACTTTGTTCCAGGCTCTGGTTATACTCTAGGAGTATGGTGATGAGGAAAACCAGACCAAAGTCCTGCCCTTGTGACATTAGCAGTCTACTGGGAAAGACAGTACTGCTGAAAACCCACCATGGAGTATGAAAGTATAATTCCCATAATTCTGTGAAGAAGAGGTACACATAACAGAGGAGTTAGTTGTGGGAAGTTTTCCCTGAGAAATGGTCCCAGTCAGATCTGAACATGCATGTTTAGGTTGGTGTTCTTGCCCAGGATAGCTTTCCACTCTTGCTCCATCTTAATTTTTCTGCCTTGTTGAAATAGCCCCATCATCTGACCATCTTCCATATAACCCTGACTCTTCAATTGGAAGCAATCTATCAATCCTGTAAGTTCCACTCACCCTGCAATTCCAATATTTGTTCTGCTTACCTCCTCCCTGCCAGCCCTTCTTGAGGACCATGGACAATCTCCTCGTGTCATCAACCATCTAACAACCTAGCTTGTTGCCATGCACCTAGCCAACTTCCAACACTTGATTCAATTTAATCTTAAAAACTAATTTTATATGTGTTTACTCTCATCTAATTTCCGAAAAGATTTGATAGCTTACATTTGTGTGTGTGTATGTGTGTGTGTGTTGGAGTTGAGGGGATTTCATTTCCACAACCCAGTTACTTAGCATCTTAGATTTTTGTCCATAATACGGTATTTTTAAAAAAAACTATTAAAACACTAAAAATAGGCCTTTCCCGGTGGCGAAGCTAAGCCAAGTCTTGGCCACTTCAAAGAGTTTGATCTCCGGACAGGGAGGTGACCCATATGGCACAGCAGACCTCTCCTGTCTGGCCTGCTGCTCTCCTCAGCAGTGTGCTTTGTCGATCTGCCTGTTCTGCTCCCCACTCTGTTTCTGGTGAGCCCTCTTGCCACCCCTGAACCCCATTTCTGTATGCACAAATAAATAAAATCTTTTTTAAAAACCACAAAACAGGTGTGTTTGGCTAAGAAATTCTTAAATTAAAAAAAGAAAAGAAGGAACACAATAGAGGTGTTTTTGACTAAGAAATTCTTTTAAAAAATAGTTGTTATTATACTTTGCTAAGTATGATCATTTATGAGCTGAAGTCTCCTTAGTCTATTACTTAATCTATTACAATTCATACCATAACACTGAGGCAAGGTGTTTGACTTGTGCCAGGAAGCATAATAACACCCTTCACATCTTTGGGGGAGTCTTGCTCTGTTCAGACTTCTAGGGTATATGTTGTCCGAAGGTGCAGTGCCTTTCCTTAAACTCGCACATTCTTAATCGTGGCAGTAAGTTTATAAAAGGAACTCTAATTAAGGGACACTGTGACATAATCACATCTAGTGACAGGAACCCTGAGACTTATCCCAGCGTAAGAAGAGTGGGTCCCCTTTGAATCATTTGATTCTGGGCCAGTAGTTTCCCCCATGGGGACATGCAACGACGGTCAGATTTACAGCCACGCTCTTGTCATTAACGTTGCCCAACTCAGGACACACTCTGACAGGGAGTTCAAGACTTAGCCTCTGGGTGGAGGTATTACCAGGCTCCAAAGCTGTGACCAACACGCAAACCACGAACGGCGCTAAGTTCAAAGCTGCCAGAGCTCCTGCCCAGAGAAAGTCCGGGAAGAGAACAGCAAAGGCTCCTAGTCTCCCCAGGTGCAATAAAAGGAGGGTGCTCAGGGTGCGAATTGCTTGGGGAGATGTTCCGTGCTTGCCTATCCACGCAGAGGAATCTCCCTCGTCCAGGTAACCATGCACACGAGGGCTCCCCAAACTTCAGGGACCCCATGCTCCCTTCAACACTTGCTGTGCGATGGCAGAAAGGGGGCACGCATCGGACGTCAGCCCCGGCGGATCTGGGGGCGGGGTCGGCCCTGCGCCCCTCCGCCCGAGCGGGAGCGCACTTTTCGGTCCTCCTCCTCCGCGCCGTCACTGGCTGCATCCCCGCGGCCCCGGCACAATAGAGGCTCCGCCCTCCCTCCGCGCCAGTGCTCCGCCGCGCCCTCGCCCTACTGCCTCCGCCGCGCCGCCACGGCCACTGCCCCTGTCCCGCGCCCGGTGCCCAGTGCCCGTGCGCGCCGAGGCTCCTCGCCTGCGGGCCGGCGCTCCGAGGTTCCGCGGCCTGAAGCCCTCTGCCGCCTGCCCCGCGCCTTAAGTAGGTGCGCTCCGAAACTCTCGCGCCGGTGCCGGTGCCTGTGCGTGCAGACGCTCCCGCAGCCTGGCCCGCGCGCACTAGCTACATTTGCGGGGACCCCTTCCCTCTACCGGACCCCCGTCACCGGACAGCGCGCCGGAATAGTCCGTGCCACCGCCACCTTCCCCGCGCTCTGCTCTCCACAGGAGCCGCATAATCGCTCTCGTCGGGAAGGAGATGATCTCTGGGGTGCTGCCTCCGTCCCCGCTCAGCTGCTTCTAGCTGGAGTAGACGCTCTCAGAGCCACACTCGGGCTCCGACCCAAACACCCATTTGCCTCAGTCTTTGCCCAAACTCGACCCAGCCGTTCTTTTTGTGCTGTCCTCATGGCCCAGCCTCTGCTTCTAGTTCTCTGCATCACTCTGGTCGTGGCTCCGGACTGGGGGTCCAGCATTCACCCCACAGGAACCAGCGCGCCTCCAGATGTGCAGACGGCGGCGCCCACTGAGGACGACTTTCTGCAAAATGAGGCGGACAACCAAGAGAATGTTCTGTCGCAGGTAGGAGTCCGGTCCCCACCCCTTTTGCCTGGGTGGTGGAGGAGCCAGAAGATGGAGACAGGGGTCTCCTTCTGCATTACCAGAAAGAGCAAAGGGCATTTGCGTTTCGTATTTCATTTACCTTTTTTTTTTTTTTTTAAGTGAAGTGGCATGGTCCTCCTTTCAAAATCATGGGGCCTTTCAAACTTGGGAAACAGGAGAAAGGAGAGGAGAAGGGTCGAGGCCATGAACTCCCGGAAAAGAAAGGAAAATCCAAAGTAAAATGTTTTGATTCAAGAACTATGGAAGTCTTGCCCATCTCCTCCCTGTGTGCCCGTTTGCCAGCCTCAGAAAGTGAGAGCAGGTGGGCAGGTTGGAAAGGTGGCAGATGACTAACATGGGAGGATGTTCCATGGCACTGAGCCAAGCCCCACACGGGGCATGAAGACAGGAAGCAACATGTGTGATAAATGTAAGGACCCCGAAGAGAGGGACTGACGAGCAGACCCCATATTTGGGGGAGATGGAGTGGAAGCACAGATCCACTCCCATCTGGCAGATGTTGGGAGTGGAGTATGCTTTAATGAAAACTGATAGTGAAGGGCTTTATAATCATCCCTTTACAGAGTGCTTTCATTTGCTTGTTGGACTCAGTCCTCAGGCCCTTGTTCTATTATGTAGATCAGGACTGTAAGACTGGCACAGTAAAAGCACTGGAGCTGGGGGTGAGTAGAGCCGGTCTCCTGACAAACTTCAGCACAGATCAGTTAGGGATCTGCCCTCTGGAGTGTCTGTTTCATGCTCACCACAGCTTACATGACTTTGCAGCGGGAGTCACCTTCTCCTAGGGTAAGGGATGACTGAGAAAGGACCCCTACAGAGCGACTGCCCTCCCACTAAGCCCTCAGAATGGGTCTTATCTCCTCTCAGTACAAAGAATGATGAAGTCCCCTGGGCATTTATCAAATACTTGGTCTGCTCATCCTTGCTTTAATAATTATGTTAATGTGTGCCTTTATATCCACCTATAACCTTGCCCTGACCCCTAAATCAAAAAGATATAAAACTCTACTTTGGAGCTCTGGAGAACCATCACCAAAAGTTTTCTTGAAACTTGAGCCTCCTTTGAAAGGAAGGACCCACCCAGGGTCTCCCAGCCTTTTTTATGCAGGAATCTAGGCAAGATTTCAGAGCAGACAGTCAGGATTTACTGTCTACCCCCTCCCCCCCAAAAAAACTCCAGTCCCATAAAGACCAGCTGCTTAAGTCACCCTGAACCACAACTCCTTCCACTGATCCTTTCTGTATTTGACAACAGCCCTAAAACAAATATTAGTACTAGAAGAAACCCAACCTCTACAAGAAAAACATTACAAGCCTTCTTCCCCTCAGACAGCGTCCCAGGAATATTTCCACTGACAATTTCAGCGCCTGCCTGCCAGGCCCATTTGTCAAAAGTAAGGGGGCCTTCTCTGTGCTTACACCGGAGGCCTTGGGGACACCAGGTCTGTTGGACAGGAGCTGGGAAGAGCCCTTTCCCCAGCAAATGCCAGAGTGGTGGTTTCAGAAAGCCTGCTGTTGTGTTTTCCTGCATGGGGAGGCTGTCCAGGCAGACACTCACAAGGAAATGGTTAGCACTGTATAAGCACCAAGCACTGCCAGTTCATTCTGCTGGCTTTGGCCTGGGGCTTGAGTTCAGAAAGCATTCTGGGAGCTACCTGAGCCCCTAGGCTGAATAAACATTACTGGCTTCAGAATCTTTTTCTCCCCTCCTAGTTCCTTTTCTCCAAAACAACATATCTATCTATCTCTCTCTCTCTTTTTAAGATTTATTTAGTTATTTATGATACAGAACTGGGGTACAGGCTAGAGGTGCAGGGGCGGTGAAAGGATTCACCAGAGACAGAGTGGGGAGCAGAACAGGCTGACTGGTGAATTTACACTGCTGAGGGGAGCAGCGGGCAGGTCAGGAGAGGTCTGCCTCGCCATGTAGATCACCTCTGGGGCGGGGATCCAACTCATGTTGAAGTGGCTTTAGCTTCTTAGTGCTGTGCTTTAACCCGCTGCACCACCAGGGAGGGCCCCAAATCAACACTCTTTTATGGCGGAGCTCAAATACCACTTCCTCCAAGAAGTCTTCCCTGGTGCCTGATTGGAGATTGCTGCCAACTTTGTTGCCCCCTATAAGTTGGCAGCTTCCAGGGACACCTCTCACTCTGCACTTTATGTGACGGTTCTTGTTTCCTCTCTTGCACAAGCAGGCTCTCTGTCTGGCCCATTCTTTCTCCTCACAGCGACTCACGCAGTCATGGGTAGGCACTACATCACAGGTGAATGAAAGCATGAAGCAGAGGCAAGTATGTTGGGCTTGAACAACACAGTTTACACATCTCAAATCCATTTAAACAGATTTTGTAAACAGCATGAGTTTATGGTATCACTAAATAAATTTGTGGTACTGTACATGTATTTTTTAAATCTTGCCTTTTCTCTAGCGTACATTATTATAAGAATACAGTATAGCTTATATAGCATACAGAATATGTCTAGATTGACTATGATGTTGTCATTAAGGCTTATGGCAATGCAGGTATTAATACTTAAGTTTTAGGGTAGTCAAAATCTATACGAGGATTTTCAGGAGACCAGTTGCCCATCCCCTGCGTTGCCCAAGGGTTGACTGTGATCTTCAAGTTGGTAGGTCAGTCCCTTCTGTTAATCCTGTCCCCTTCTCCTGTTTTGAGTCTTACCTAGCTCAGGCAGGAATGAGACTCATGTGTTTTTTACTTTAAATGATGAAAGGCTCATGCCCTTAAGGAACGAATAGTTTTCCAAGACAAGTAAAAGGAGGAGATTCTGAGTGTCTCCACGAAAGTGTCAGTCAGCAAATGGTGTTGTGATACTCTCTTCACCCGACACTTCAGGCTAGTCCGAGGTCCCTGCCAGGGCAGGACACTTAGCAAAGTGAATGGAGAAACTTTTTCAGGAACCTGGTTGACGTCAGCGTTTTCACCCTGTACCTATTCCCAACCTCTGCAGTTGCTGGGAGACTATGACAAAGTCAAGGCTGTGTCTGAGGGCTCAGACTGTCAGTGCAAGTGTGTGGTGAGACCCTTGGGCCGAGACGCCTGCCAGAGGGTGAACGAAGGGGCTTCCAGGAAGGAAGACTTCTACACCGTGGAGACCATCACCTCGGGCTCCTCCTGCAAGTGTGCCTGTGTGGCACCCCCGTCGGCCCTCAATCCCTGTGAGGGAGACTTTCGGCTCCAGAAGCTCCGGGAGGCAGACAGCAAGGACTTGAAGGTAGGCCGTGGTGTGGGAGAGGCTGTGGGACAGTGGCACCTTGGGGACCCCGGAGCCCAGCATGGCCAAGCTGAGTTGTGACACTTTGAATCATAAGGACTGGTTTCAGCATTTAAGGAGGCGAAACATGTAGCTGCAGGACTGGCCATTTACATGTCTGAGGGAGATGCCTCTCCTGATGGAGCCTGGAAGGTCAGATCTGGAATGACTGCCAGCCCCAGTCAGCCAAGACAATTGGGAGCTGTTTCTCTGGAGAACTGCTGCCACCATTTACCATCAGCCCAACAGGCACCCCACAGGGGTGAGAGGCTCTGAGCTTGATCCTGCATTGCTCCAGGGCTGGGTGAGCCAGGGCGGGAGAGATCTGGGATCTGTTCTCAGTCAGATTCAAAGCCTGTGCCATGTTCCACAGTCATGTGTTAGTTAAGGGCTTGGTATGACCCCCACATTCGCCCTCACTGGTAGCTCAGAGCAATGAGATGACCTGGGTGGGGAGTCAGATGACAGGGGTCACATCCTTGCTGTGCCACTATTCCAGCATTCCACTCAACTGATCTCACTTTTCTGTCCTCAGTCCCCTGAGGGGAGAGTGCCATTGACCTTCTGGGGTTGTTTTGAGAATTGATGATAGCTGCCAGTACCTGCTGCAATGCCTGACAGGCAGTCAGAGCTCAGGGATCCAGTTCCTTTAATGAATGACCACATGAAGTGCTGACCTGCCCCCCCCACACACACTTGGAAACTAATGGTCCTCGGCCCTCTCTTTAAGCAGAACGTGCTTACCAGGGCAAGGAGGAGTCCAGGACCTGGCCAAGTCACTCAGAGCATCAGATATGTCATGCAACTACTTTTGGAACCAGAGGATATTCAGTCACACAGTTATAGGAGTTACTCCGGGGAGCGTCTAGATGACAGCAGGCAAAATGTTCTGTCGGGACTGGGAAAATCACCATGGTACACACCAGCTGGCTCCCATGGCTTTTAAATCAGTTTCAGCTCTCTTCCTCTGGTGGGAGAAAGCGATTGTGCAAACCTGAGTACTTCTCATGAAGAATTCGTCATCTGAAAGCAAGATTGGGGCATGAGAGAGGAGCAGAGATTGCATACTTATGGCCAGAATGTGTCCAGCATCTGGCAGTGAGGCTCGGTTTGAGTGTCTCCTATCTGCCTCTTTGCCCATACTCACTTGCTCTGGATGCCATGGATACCTTGGCCTCTTGTTCCCAGGGTGTCCTGGCAGGATCCATATGACCAAACTGAGAAGGCTGGGTGCCGCTAGCCAGCTTTCTACCTCAGAGATCAGCCCAAGTCTCTCTCCTTTTTTTCCCCAAAGATTTATTTGCTTATTTTTTTATGCATGCAGAACTGGGTACAGGCCAGAGGTGCAGGAGCCATGATAAGATTCACTAGAGACAGAGAGGGGAGCAGGACAGGTAGATTGATGAAGTATACTGCTGAGAAGAGCAGCGGGCGGGTCAGGAGAGGTCTGCTGCACCATGTGGGTCACCTCCCTGGCCAGGAATCAAACTTGGCTGAAGTGGCGAGCTTCACAGTGCTGCACTGTAACCCGTTGTGCCCCCAAGGAGGGCCTGACCCTGAGTCTCTTTTATCCCAAGATGAGTTAGGCTTATAGCATTAAGGAGAAACTTTCATTGGCTTCTTCCAGAGCCTCCAGTATATGACTAAGATGATGGCGCTGAGTGTTTCAGAAGCATGTCCTTCCAGGCATTGGCATGTATAAGCTACTTTGTTGAGTATTTGTGGCTCACTTGTTATGGCCCAGGCACTGTGCTGGGGCCCTAGAGGGCAGAGACCATATGGGCATTCCAGTGGGCCATTTAGGCACCACAGTGGCCCTTGAGCCACTCGGGAATTAAGAGCACCCATCCTGTCCTCCATGGTGGAAATAGGACTATAACTTTCATTCCTTCAAGATTTAACTGCAGCAGTTCCTTGGTATTAGAAGTGTCCAGAACACCAGAATAACAAACCCAAGGGTGCTCCAGTCCCTTATAGTCAGCCCTTTGTCTCTGTGAGTTCTGCACCAAGGATTCAACCAACTGACATCAGCAATTGGGAAAATTTGCCAACACAGAACCTTCAGATAGGAAAAAAAATCCATCTATAACTTGACACCAGGCCAGGCAGTTCAAATCTGTGTTTTGAACTGTACAAGTGCTGGCTTTCAAGGAGTACCAGTGTGTCTTGTTTGCAAGAGACATCTTTGCAACTGGCAGACTTAACAAAAGTATAAATGATTTGGTGAAAATGTCTAGAACGCAGGCTTGCTTGTTCTCACTGGTTGCTTCTGTTTTCTTACCCAAGTATTCCAGAAAGCAGAATGTCCAGAGTTGCACCATTGACTTTGTCTGTGTGCCCACCTGCCCAGATGGCAGTTTCTGAGGGCCACCTCCCCAGTCCTGACGCATGACTTCCCTGTGACCTGCTATCATGGCTTATCCTTTTCCTGAAAAGGAAAAGCCTTTCCCTGGGTCTGTCTACTCACACCCTGGACTAACTCTGTCCCTGTTCCACAGCTTTCCACCATCATAGACATGCTGGAAGGAGCCTTCTATGGCCTGGATCTCCTAAAGCTGCATTCAGTCACCACCAAGCTGGTGGGGCGGGTGGACAAACTGGAGGAGGTAAGGAAGATTGTGGGCTTGATCGGGATCCTTTGAGTCCCACAGTACTTGTTCATAAAGCACTAGAATGAACCTATTGCATTCTTTGATAAACACACAAAGAGAGGGGAAGAAAGTGTCAAAGGTCATAAGAGATGGTGGTGGGGAAAAAATAGAATAAAATATAATTCCTTTTTTCTTTCACAAAAGTTCAGAAAAATAGGGCAAAAGCTAAATAAGCATACCTTGGAATGCTACCCATCAGTGAAAAGGAACGGTCCATCGATGCAGTTGGGTGGGTCTCAAGGGTACTATGTGATTTTAAAAAAACGTATCTCAACTCCATAAGAAAATAAAAATAAGCAATCTATCTCAGAGGTCATGTGCTATATATTCGATTTATGCAGCTTTTTGAAATGGCAAAGTTATAAAGAGGACAAGTTAATGGCTGCCACGGGTTCAGGATGGCGGGGGCGGACAGGTAGCGCTGGGGAGGGCTTGGCTGAAAGTTGGCTACACAAATCTACACATGTGATATCAGGACAGAACTATACACACACTTCACACCAATGTCAGTTTCCTCGGTTTGTCATTAGGCTATAGCTGTGTATGATGTAACATTACAAATAAACATATAGCCTATGTATTCTATTTTTACCTTGACTGTCAGGGAACACAGAACTACAGAAAATGTAAAAATGTAATATACATCTTAACTGTAATATGCATTCTGGCTTTAAGGTGATGGCATCTCCCTTCTGGGTGCAGAGGATAATTTCTTTTCCCCCCTCATTCACTTTGGATCCCAGTGGTTCTTTTTCCTAGGCTTTGAAGGTTAGTTCAGCAAAGTTCTGGAGGTTAGGGTGGCTCTTCAGGTCAGTGTACACTCTTCCTTCCTGAATCATGATCTATTTCTTTTCTATTGCTGTTCATTTCCCTAGTATGTAACTTCTCCATGTCCCCACTTTTATCTCCATGTAATGAATGCAAGCAGGCTCTCCTAGCAAGGGAGAGGAAGACTAGGCCGAAGGAGCACACAGTGGACCACCGCCAATTATATGACGTCACTGTCACTTGTCAGGGCTGGGAAAGGGGCGCTGTCTGTACGAGACATTGCCTGTTTGTTCCTAGGAAGTCAATTTTTATTCAGAGTAAGACTATTTCGAATTTATTTTATAAAATAAAATGACGCCCACCGCCATCCACTAGATTCTTCTGCCCTTGCTCCCACTCCGTACTCTCTTCAGTTCTGTGGGTCACTGTCCACGGGCTGATCTTTCTTTTGCTTCGTCTCCTTATATTGCACTAGAGGTGGACTCATCCAGTATTTGTCTTTCTCTTTCTGATTTACCTCACTTTGCCTCATTCCCTTGAGTTCCTTCCATTTTCCAAAGTGGCAATGGTTCATCTTTTTTATAGCTAAATAGTGTTCCAGTGTATATATGTGTATTGTGTATATACACACAAACACACACTCATGCTACATCTTCTTCATTCATTCACAGTAGTTTTATCTTCAGTGTTTTGAGGAAATTTCATATTCTTTTCCAAAGTTGTTGCACTATTTTACACCCCCAACAATAGTTTACAAAGGTTCCTTTTTCACTATACCCTTGCCCACACTTGCTACCAGTCTTTTTGATGTAAGCCATTCTCACAGGCATGAGGTATGTGATCATGTGGTTTGGTGTGCATTTCCCTGGTCAAAAGTGTTGATGAACCTTTTTTTCGTGTGTCTGTTGGCCATCTGGGTGTCTGTTCAGACCTTCTGACGAGTGTGTGTTCAGACCTTCTGGTGAGCAAATCATTCTGGAAATACTTTAAAATGGTGAAATAAAACAAAGAGCTCGCGTCGTGGCCCTGGAGTGAGTGGGAGCAGACATGGCCCTGTGGTTTTGCCCAGAGAACTGGGACAGGATGAAGAAATATTGGCATTGCAGGAACTGCTTTTAGGACACTCCTAATACTCCTGAAAACATTCCCAGAACGTGACCAGTTCCTCCGCCCCCCAGGAGCTTGGCTCTTAAGTGCTGTGATGAAGTGTTTTCTGAATCCAGCCATTTGCTCTGGGGGCTGGAAGGGCCACAGTCACTTTAGTGATGGGGTCTAATGGGAGAGGTCAAGGCTTTGGAGCCTGAGCTTTGCAGACAGACAGAGGGGTCAACAGGACCACGTAACCCCTACCCGTCAGCCCCTTTTTTCCTGGGGGCTTTCTAAGATTTAGCTCATTCAGCCTCTTGAGTCTCTTCTTTCCCAGAGTTGACTGATGGAATCACAAGCCTGGGAGTGGCAAGACCACCCTACTTTTTTTTTTTTTTTTTTTTTTTTTTAAGATTTATTTATTCATACAGAACTGGGGTACAGGCCAGAGATGCAGAGGGTGAGAGGATTCACCAAGGACAGAGTGGGGAGCAGAACAGGCAGATCGACGAAGTACACTGCTGAGGGGAGCAGCGGGCGGGTCAGGAGAGGTCTGCCACGCCATGTGGTCACCTCCGGGACAGGCGGGAATCGAACTCATGCGGAAGCGGCTTTAGATTCTCAGTGCAGTGCTTTAACCCGCTGCGCCACTAGGGAGGGCCAAGACCACCCTACTTTTGATGGACTTATTGCTTCAGGCTCTTTTCTTTATAATCTCTTTCGGATTCTTTCAGCTGGGCTCAAAAGGAGTTAAACTAAACCCACTTGGTCCTTGGGTATTATAAAGTGTTTTCCTTGACTCCCAGAACTGTCCAAATGTGCCATTTAAAAAAATGTCCCTTAAAAAAAAAAAAAAAAAAGGGTTCTGTCTGGTGGTGCAGCAAGCAGGTTAAGGTTAAAGCCCTGCACTATGAAGCTCTCAGAAGCCACTGCCGCAGGAAGCTGACCCATATGGTGTGTCAGACTTCTCCTGCCTGCCCGCTGCTCCCCTCAGCAGTGTATTTCAGTAGATCTGCCTGTTCAGTTCCCCACTCTGTCTCTGGTGAATCCTCTTACCCACTTCTGGTCTGTACCCAATTTTGTAAGCATAAATAAACATATCTTAAAAAAAAAATCACATTTCTATAGGAATAGCATGACAGCCACTTCTTCCATTTCCTGTGACTGGGCAGCCATGTTCTGTCTGCAGAGCTCAGTTTGCAATGATAGGTCCAAGCTAGCAAACAGGGCCCCGGAGACCAGGGTCAGACACTCAACCTCTGAGATTTGTTTAAAGACCTCGATCTCTTTCCAGCCTCATCTATGACTAAACCCTCATGGTCGGCACGTGAGTGAATGTGGTATCATACCACTACCCAGTAGGGTGGTAGGGTGTTGTGTGATTTCTGTGCTGCTCCATTATGGCCGTTATTTATGTGTGCCAAACCAATCTTAGTCAAACCAGGAGCTCTTCTCTTCTTCAAAAGTGGGGTATGTTGCGGGCCCTCCCTGGTGGCACAGCAGTTAAAGCACAGCACTAAGAAGCTAAAGCCACTGCAGTACTCGTTTGATCCACCGCCAGGGAGCTGACCCACATGGCGCAGCAGACCTCTCCTGACCCGCCCGCTGCCCCCCTCAGCAGTGTACTTTGCTGATGTGTCTGTTCTGCTCCCCACTTTGTCTCTGGTGAATCCTCTCACTGCACCTCTGCCTCTGGCCTGTACCCCAGTTCTGCATGCATAGGTAAATAAATCTTTTTTTTTTTTTTTTTAAAAGTGGGGTATGTTGCGTAACAAAGTCTGGATCTTTTTAATAATAATATTTTTTTATTATTTTATTATTTTTTTAATAATAATTTTAATAACAATGATCATCCTCCCCCACTTCCTTCTCCTCCTCATCCCTTATGTTTGAACAGCACGCTGTGGTCTTTGAGACGTCTCGTACACATTCAGCCAATTGGTTCCTTTGAGCAGGACAGGGTGCAGGACGTAGGGACATAGGTGTTGTCTGTATAGTCACGATGAGCTGGAGCTCAGGCTTCTGGTGCCTGCTCCAGGGTCGTTTCTAATGAGCCCAACAGATTTCTGTGAATTGCTGCTGTCTGCCTTGCAAGGATCAGTTTTTCCTAATCAGAGTTTAAAACAATAGCTTTTCCAAGGGAATTTCCAGGCAGAATTGGAGTATGTCCCATAAGTTCTATTCAGTCGATTAAAGTTAAGTTCGAGAAGTTTCACTGAGCTCGGTAGTGGGTCGTGGGGGAGGGGAAGTTTCTAAACTAGGTTGTTGGAATGACAAGGTGCTGTGGCTTGACAGTTACCACAGGTGGGCTTGGGCCCTGTGCTCATGGAACGGAGAGTGTCCCTCAACTTGAGGTCCAGCCGTTGTCTCCTGGCTCCTGCAGCTGACTGTCTGCCGTCTTTGAAAAGGCAGGATGTTGGGTAAATGGAAAAAACACTCCCTCTCCAACCTGGCTCTGCAGGAGAATGGAACTGAAATTCTGCTCTTGGTCTTGGATCATCTTGAGTCCCAAGGGGAGTTCTTTGGAGGTCAAATCAGACAGCCGGGGTCCATTTGAAGGGGCGTTTTTCCCAGATCAGAGCAGAGCTTGGCAGGAGATGCAGCCCGTGTGGTGTGTGGGTGTGTGAGTGTGTGCGCAGGCACACACGTGCTCTGCCACCTGGGTCTGTAGCACAACATAGGCATGGAAACTCCATTTGCACATGAAAGAGGAAGGAAGGAGAGAAATGCGATCTGGGCTTTCTCAGCCTCCAGTCTTGGTAAAATCAGCGCTGGGAGCTCTTCGTGGTGGAAGAATTGCTTTTATTTTGTTTTCTAACGCGAAAAGTAACATATGCATAGAAAACTGCACAAACGAGGAAGAGATAGCTTCATAATTCTTATAAAACAAATCCCACGTGAGTACCCCCAGTTTAAGAATAAAACAGAGCCCCTTCCTTCCCCCATGCCTCTCCCCTCCACCTGTCCTCTCTGTTAATCCTTGCTCCTCTTCATAGTTTCATCATCTAAGGATGCATCCTTACATGCAAGTTTTGCTGGTTTCTGAATTCTAAATACATAGCCTCCAACAGAATGAGGTGTGTGGTTGTGATTGCGATGCA